AAGGTTTATAATCCCATTACTCCACCTCTTGACCTTGGACCCAAGACTCGGTAGCACCAGGGACGGACCTAAGATTGCAAAATGGCTGGGGTTAAATTTTCCTTACATACAAACCTACTGAAAACTCAACGTTACTATTGAATTTTATTTTATTTTATTTTATTTGAAAAACACCAGGGATATAATGAGCCTTATCCCTCAAAATGAAAGTACATGTAGATAAAAACATACTTAAATAGTTAAATATCTAATCAACATGTTAACAAATAATCAATTTATCAAAATTCCTAATTAATAATTCATACAAGCAAGAACACCAAAGTCAATTTCAAATCCTATTTTGCCATCCAGAGAGAGAGAGAGTGAGTCTAATGGGGTTAGTTAATAAGATTTTATTTGGGTTGCCTAGGCTATGGTATTAATTTAGTCCCAAAAAAAAAAAAAAAAACAAGTTCCTTAGGCTATAGCCCAAGTTAGCTTGTTCATGGGACCGTCCCTGGGTAGCACGACACAAACCTGGGATATACCAGTGCCAATGAAGGATGCATATCTATATTGTTGGAATTTAGAATGTCACTCTGATACCATTGTTGGGTCGGAGGTGGAGGAGGAGTTTAGGTATAGATGACAATAGAACAACAATTGAAACAAAGTGTTTTATTAGAATGGAGGATAATAGTACATAGCTTGGTGTACATAGAACTTGAGGCTATTGCCCTTCTAATTGTATAGCTCTTGGCTAGTTGGTGAATTGGTTCAGAACTGGGCTATTGGCTCTTCACTTATTTAGCTATTGGCTACTCAACTCTGTCTAATTGGCCCATATGTGGCTATTGGCCACCACACTTGATTGTTGGTTTAAGCAACTTTCTTAGAAGCACAAAAGAAGTACATCTTGTATTTATAGACCATGCTAGCCAACTAACTTGCTGACTTATCACACTGGCTTTGTTCCACCGCCTTGAGGTTGAGGCATCTCCATTCCTATAGCCACATGTTGGTTGTGACTATTCGTCTAGAACGTTCTTACATACTCATTTAGTTTGTCGACAATATTGTTGGTGAGCTCCTCCACAATTTATTCACGATTCTTCTAGAATTATTTAGATCCCAAAGTGGGAAAAGCATGCAAGTTAGTACGTACGTACGTACGTAGTTAGGTATCCAAAAGAGAATTGACGATACATGTTGCCACTACAAAAAAAGTAGTCATTTGAAATTCTAGAGAAGTCTCCATTTATTCTCTTCAGGTGTGATGGAGATCAAGTAATTCTATCATCAAAATTTGAACATCAATAAGCTTACACCAGAACCCCAAGTTCTGAAGCTAGCTCCATAAACATTCATTCTCACTGCTACATATAAGAAAGAATCTGGAATTGATAGATCACAGACGGAAAGATGGACCTAGAAAATAATCAAGAAGAAAGCACTCATACCAACAGATTGCCTAGAACTTTCAACAATGGTTATTGGTAACAAAATTTCAAAATTTATGATTTAATTTTATGTGATCACTTTCAAGGCCAATGCATGCAAAATTGTGCTCAATTTCATGCGGGGAATTCAACCAAGATCTCCCATGATGAAATGCTTAGTTACATAAACGCAGCAAGAATAAGACAGTGGACAGACCTATGAGGTCCACCCCTGGGAATAGGAATTTCAGTCCTCCATTCCTTTTCTAATGCTTTTCCATCTTTAACAGCAAGACTCCAATGATCTACTCCAGGTGTATGTTGATTCTCCTTGCTACCACCCATTACATGAAGTCTACCTCCACAAAGTTGAGTTGCTGGTGCGAACCTGAAAATTACTGAGTTAAAACCATTCAATCTACCCTTGAACTACAGAAGAAAAATTATACGATTTGTTTTGGACTACAAATACTTACTAATGAAATCTTACACTAACAAATTGATTTTCCAGTCCACTCCATCAGCACAAAAAGTTCCTGTGAGCCAAGTAGAAACCAGCGAACGAAGGCTACAACTCAACAGAGCCTTAATCCCGATATCTGGGCTCAGCTACACTACCCTTATATATACACATGAGCACACACAAATACACACATACATCTATAATATATACATATGCAAACAGATATCCTACAATGAAATCAGGTGGTATTAAATAAGAGCAAAATGGCATAAAGACGTGGTATAAATGACATTCTCATTCACAAACATGTGTACACACGCAGCAAATACAGGAATACACAGTGATCGATTTCAGTATCACACAGCATTTGACAACAGAAACGTACACTTCATTCTATGCAATCTTATTAAGGCAAAAACAAACCTAGGAACTGGTAAAGGGGGCATGTCCAGCCACTGCTTTGTCTCAGTATCAAGCACGAATGTATGGGCAGTGAGCCCTCTGCACTGTGGCCCATATACTGTCCTGTGACCATGTATATGTACCTTCCGTCGGTTACCATTCCTAGATGTGAATGTGCCATTTCTTTTGGCATATCAAATCTTCCTCCCCATGTATTTTACCTGAAATTGTAGATATCAACATGTGAATGTACCTAAAGTAAACAATAAACAGAAAAAACAGCCCATTAACACAAGAAGGGAGAGTGAATCTTTTCAGTTTTGGTGAACGAGTAAATATAATAAAACATGTTTATCATAGTTCCGCATAAGCGGTAGGATCTGATCTATCCCCAGCAGTTGAGTTGAGTTGAGGCCCAGTTCATTGATGTCACCAGTTGTGAAGCAGATTGTTATTTTCCTCTTCTTCTTTTTTTGGCAGTAAACATTATAATCTGATTCGAAAAAATATGTGATAACGTGTCTCTCTATAAAAAAAAAAAAGACAATGCAGAAAATTATGGAATAAATTTACAACAATTTCATAATACCCACAAAATCAAGATAAATTAAACTAAAGGCAATATCCTAAAACTCTTTCACATAGATTCCCATAAAGACACCACAGTTCTACTCGATACAATTAAGTCAAAAAAAACACACCCTTTTCAACCCATCTAATCTCTCTTTTTCCTTGATAGCTGCTCCTAGCAATTCCTAGTCCACTTGCAACACAAACATCTTCTTTTAAATCTTGATATCCCTATACAACTCTCTGCATGCTCTATAGAATAGAAACCCTTCTCTCTCATGTAGCAGTTTGTGATACAACCACTCTTCAACAAATTCATTGGTGCTGGTGGTATATAAACTGCAAGTATACAATTAATCAAGGGTCTAAAGGCTCTAAGCTCAAAGACATGTCATTTGCTAATGAAACTATAAGTAGTCCATTAAACAAGGGTCTAAAGGCTCTAAGCTCAAAGTCATGGCATTTGCTAATGGGACTGAGAATGAAAGAATTTGGTGACATGGGCAGGGGATGTAGACATGTACCGCGTAGTTCCCTTCTACGTGAGGAAAGCTCCTAACTCTGCTGGGCTGAGCGCTTGGTGAGAAGTCCAGAAATCCTTCACAGTCAAAACATCAAACACTCAGTCGACAACACGATCGAAAATTCAAAATCATACTAAAACAAGGTAAAAAGAGAGAAAATTGATTGCAATTAGTAGGTACCAAAGGAATTCGGGCTGTTGAGCAGTAACAGAGGAGGTGGGGGCACAGGAGAGCTCCAATAAGAATTTAAGAATTGGCTACATATATCGAGTATAGCCGCTCGGCCATACTCTTTAAATATATTTTTAGTACAGCCGTCAGGACATATAGCCGTGCGGCTATACTCTTCAAATATTTTTTTATTAGGAGTTCAGCCGACCGGCTATACGCTTTAAATATATATTCTTATTTAAGAGGTATAGCCGTGCGGCTATACACTTTAAATATATGTTTTTATTCAAGGATTATAGCCGTGCCGCTATATTCTTTAACTATATTTTTAATTTAAGACGTATAGCCGCGCGGCTATACGGTTTAAATATATTTTCTGTATTTAACTCAAATAAAACATTCAAAGCAAGAAGGCAAATAAACCAGAAACAATTATACTAGCAAAATTCAAATAGCAACATGTATCTGCTTTTAGATGCCTTTTTATTTATTTTTCAAACAAGTTGTTATGTAATTACAGGCCTTGCTACCCTTCATCAGAGAGCTCGAGCAAATACATTTGGCGAGCACTTTCTAATCATGCACACTAAATTTCTATCAAGTCTTATTGTATTTTTGTTTTTGGTTATACCAAGACACTGTTGGAAGCTGTTCAGATGCTCATCTTAGCTACGATGTTGAGGAGTAGCTCAACTAGTTCTTTTATTGTCTCTCAAAGAAATGTTTTTTTTTTTGTACTCTTCTCCAAAGAAATGTTTTATTTAGTATCATCTTACTTAGAAAATATTTTCAGATGAAATTCCACAAACATAATTTTACTTTTCTTTTCTTGTTAGCATTGAAGGTTTAATTTTGTTTAATCATGGCCCTTAACCCACTATTAAACAAATAAACAGCTAGCCCAAGGCCCAAAAGGCTTGATTATCCAATATTTTTTTGGTCCAAAGATTATCTAAATATTATTGTACACATTAAAGTTAAAATTACATAACTTAAGCCATGGAAAACCCATTTATAACGAGATTAATGTGTGCATAAAATATACACACCAGAACCCCAAAGTAGAAATGGATGGTGACGTGTCAGCACATAAGAGGAACACGAATGCCTGCAAAGATTTTGGGAGGATCTAAGAGTAGGTATTTTTCCAAACTGATATTGATCTCCACTAATTTAACCCAAGTGATTCCACTGTAGACACTAATTAAACAACATAATGATATTGTTAGTGATTCCACTGTAGTGATTTTCCAATTGACTACATTTTCTGGATTTTGATTAGATATTTAACTATTTAAGTACGTGTTTTATCTACATGTACTTTCATTTTGAGGGATAAGGCTTATTATGTTCCCGGTGTTTTTTTTTTGTCTTTAGTAAAATTCAATGGTACCGTTGAGTTTTCAATAGGTTTGTACGTAAGGAAAATTTAGCTCATGTCATTTTCAAATCATGGGTCCATCCTTGGTGCTACCGAGTCTTGGGTCCAAGGTCAATGGGTGGAGTAATGGGATTATGAACCTTATTGATAGGATAAGTTATCCTAAAAAAATGCACAAAATGGAATTATAGTGGAATTATCTTTTATCTTTTATCACATTGGACGAGTTGTTCTTGCTTAGCGGGGTATTCAACATAGGGGATTGGATACCATGGCTTAAATTTTTAGACTTGCAAGGGTATGTAAAGCGAATGAAGGCCTTAACGAAAAAATTGGACCGGTTTTATGAGTTCGTGCTCGATGAACACAAGACAAAGAAGGAAGGAGTGGAGGAATTTGTGTCAGAGGGTATGGTGGATTTACTGTTGCTACTGGTTGATGACCCTAATGATCTTGAAGTTAAGCTCACTTATGACAGTGTCAAGGCTATCACTCAGGTAGCTTCTTAAATTATTTCTTATTTAATTTCCAAACATTAGGGTAATGCTCTTTGGGCAAACATAAGCATTATAACATTTGCATCCTTAGATATATGAGAATTTCTGTAAAAAGACACAACTTAAAGATATAAACATAAATCATTCACTTTGTTCATTCAAATTAAAACCAGGACTCAGTAGCAGGACGCACTGATACTTCTGCAACCACTTTGGAGTGGGCAATGTCTGAACTCATAAAACAACCAAACCTCATCGAAAAGGCCACCGAAGAGCTCGATAGAGTGATTGGAAGAGAGAGGTGGGTAGAAGAGGAAGACCTCGAAAACCTTCCTTATATAGATGCTATTATGAAAGAGGCAATGAGGAAGCACCCTGTAATTGTATTCCTACCACATTTAGCTCTTGAGGATTGCAATGTGGCAGGTTATGATGTTTGTAAAGGAACTCTAGTGCTTGTGAACATATGGAGCATGGGGAGAGATCCCACGCTGTGGGATGCACCAGATGAGTTTAGGCCTGAGAGGTTCTTAGGGAAGGCAATTGATGTGAAGGGACAGAGTTTTGAGTTCTTGCCATTTGGTTCAGGAAGGAGGATGTGCCCTGGTTATGGTCTTGGACTGAAAGTGATAAGGTCTTGCTTGGCCAACATGTTACATGGGTTCAGTTGGAAATTGTCTGAGAACGTGAAAAAAGAAGATTTGGGCATGGAGGAAGTTTATGGATTGTTAACACCTCGGAAGTTTCCACTTGTTGCCGTAGTTGAACCTCGGCTACCAATCCATCTTTACTAGTGATATTGAATCTGATGGTTTCCCTGCTTGCTTGCTTGCTTTTTTTTTTTTTTTTTTCTTTCCTTTTTCATCTATTTAGTGAGTGTCCGGATATGTATTATGAACCTTCTCTATAAAAATAGGACTAGTCCTACCTACTCAATAAAACTGTGTATGAATGTTTGTGATGGTAACTTGCACTGCTTTGTTGATTGCGCTGTCTCTGCATTGTGCCTCTTCTCCTAGAATGAGTTAGATTAATCTCATACGGAAATATGAACAGAATGTTTCGAGGTTAGGGAGACTTATTGACGTGTGGTGTTTGTGGGCTGTTGGACTAATCAACCAGCTTCCGGCCATTAATGCTCGTTTTACAGTCTAAGATGATTGCCAATGCCAGATCTGATGCGACAATTTTTATCATATATACTTCCCCTTTAATTATTTATCTCCTGCCAAGTGTGTTTCATGTTGCAAATTACCCCTTCATGCCAATCTTGCATATTTTCTGGTCATTCACGATTAAATCCACATAGCTGGAGTGGAGCCATGGACACTTGACAGTCACAGTACGATGCCTGAACAAATTAAACAAACCACAGCTCATTATGGAGCCTACACAATGTTACAATTATGAAAATGGACAAGGACATAACTGCTAGGGCCAATTTATGCAAATTGGTTAAATGGTGAATCGGATGATTCGATGCTATTGAAGCTTACCAAGCTCACAAGTAATGCAACCTCTGTTCCATGTTACATTTGTTTTTCCCTTAAATTTCTTTATATATCAGTCCCTTATTGATAAAAACGAATTACAATCTTATTGAGAAGGCCTAGTTCTATATTTCTGTTAAAACTAAGCCTCCCTACTTGATGGAACAAAAAAGAAACTTAAGGCTGGCACATTATCAAGTTCACATATAATTAGTAAAGGCGAATTGGCAGCCGAGGTTCTGTGACCACAACAAGTGGGAACTTCCGATGTGTGAGCAATCCATAAGTTTCCTCCATGCCCAAATCTTCTGTTTTCACATTTTCAGGCAGTTTCCAGGTGAACCCATGTAACATGTTAGCCAAACAAGACCCTACCATTTTCAGTGCATGACCATAACCAGGGCACATCCTCCTTCCTGAACCAAATGGCAAGAACTCAAAACTCTGTCCCTTCACATCAATTGCCTTCCCTAAGAACCTCTCAGGCCTAAACTCATCTGGTGCATCCCACAGCGTGGGATCTCTCCCCATGCTCCATATGTTCACAAGCACTAGAGTTCCTTTACAAACATCATAACCTGCCACATTGCAATCCTCAAGAGCTAAATGTGGTAGGAATACAATTACAGGGTGCTTCCTCATTGCCTCTTTCATAATAGCATCTATATAAGGAAGGTTTTCGAGGTCTTCCTCTTCTACCCATCTCTCTCTTCCAATCACTCTATCGAGCTCTTCGGTGGCCTTTTCGATGAGGTTTGGTTGTTTTATGAGTTCAGACATTGCCCATTCCAAAGTGGTAGCAGAGTTATCAGAGCCTCCAATTACCAAGTCCTGAGTGAATGCCTTGACAGTGTCATAGGTGAGCTTAACTTCAAGATCGTTAGGATCATCAACCTGCTGCAATAGTAAATCCACCATGTCCTTTGCCACAAACTCCTCCACTCCTTCCTTCCTGGCCTTGTGTTCATTGAGCACGAACTCATAAAACTGGTCCAACTTTTTCTGTAAGGCCTTCATTCGCTTTACATAACCTTGCAAGTCAAAAACATCTAGCCACGGTATCCAATCCCCTATATTGGCTACCCCAGCAAGCAAGTACAACTCATCTGTCATGTCCTGAGATTCTTTGAGTGATATTGTGGAACTCTTGGATTTGGTCAAGCTAAAATGGTCCTTTCCCAACACAACTCTGCACAGAACACTAAGAGTTAGGCGTGACAGATGCTGTTTGAGCACAACTGCCTTCCCTGACATGGCATAGAGTCGCGAAATAAAAGTGCGATTTTCCTCAACCCGGATGTATCGAAAAGACTCTAGACTTTTTGGGCTAAAGAGCTCAGAGGTTAAAATTTTGCGGCCTTGACGCCAATATGGACCATAAGGTGCATGAGTGACACTTTGGTAGCCATAATTGAGGTACTTGCCTGCTGCAGTTTGAGGCCTAGAGGCAAAGATACGATCATGCGTCTTTAAAAATTGCTTTGCCATTTCTGGAGATGAGGCAACTACAACTGGGCAGGAGCCAAGCTTAATCTGCATTATTGGTCCATAAATTTGGGACCACTTGTGAGCGGATTGATGAGGCAGAGGACCAACGAGGTTGAGGTTGCCAATTATAGGCCATGGTTTAGGACCTGGTGGAAGTTTTAGCTTCTTGGGTAGGGGAAAGAGAATTTTGGAGAGAAGGGCCAGAGCAACAAGCAATGCAAGGGTTGAGAAACTTAAAACAGCCAAAGAAAAAGAAGAAGCCTCTTCCATTGACATTGTCGTGTATGAAGGTTGAGGATATTGCAGGTAATTTATAGTTGAAGAAGTAGCTAGGTATGTCGTCGGGTCATTACTCAAATTTTGAAAAGTAGGCAAGTTAATTAGTACCTATGTACGGATGCCCCATAAGTTTGGGACCACTTGTGAGCGGATTGATGAGGCAGAGGACCAACGAGGTTGAGGTTGCCAATTATAGGCCATGGTTTGGGACCTGGTGGAAGTTTTGGCTTCTTGGGTAGGGGAAAGAGAATTTTGGAGAGAAGGACCAGAGCAACAAGCATTGCAAGGGTTGAAAAACTTAAAACAGCCAAAGAAAATGAAGAAGCCTCCTCCATTGACATTGTCGTGTATGAAGGTTGAGGATATTGCAGGTAATTTATAGTTGAAGAAGTAGCTAGGTATGTCGTCGGGTCGGCTATGATATTTCTATAATTACTCAAATTTTGAAAAGTAGGCAAGTTAATTAGTACCTATGTACAGATGCCCCATGTTGCAATTATTCATAGAAGAAGCCTCCATTGTGTAAAGGTTGAGAAGTGCTGCCTTCACTGATATTTGCATGTAATTTATAGTTCAAGTAGGTATGTGGGCTATGATATTTCTTAACCTTTGTTTTAAATTTGATTTAGTGATACAGGAATTACTTGAGTTAAGTTAGTGAAGGTCATCATCAATCACCATTCATTTGTGTTTTATTCAAACATTAATCTCGTTTCAGTTCTGAGAATAGGCACATAAATGCAGCATTGTCTTGCCAATCACACTTAAAAGTTACTCCGACAGATGCCCCACACCACACATGCTGCCATTATGGTCTCTGGCCCTTGAATTCATGGTGGGATCATGGGATGTTTGGTTGCTTTGCTTGATATATTTCCATTTGGGGAATGAAGAAGAGAAAGCATGAATATCAATTATTTTTAGGGTGCATTTTTGCTCACCACCTTAACCTTAGGTGTCCCCTCACCACCCTTGTCAAAAGTTGACACATGTTCATGGGTTTAATTATAGTTAATTCTTTATTTTTTATTTATTTGATAACATTATTATGAGAGAGAAACAATACTTTAATAAGATTTTTCCTGATTTACCCTTATTCACCTCGCAAACTTTCCACTTTTCTAAATTAATTAACAACTACCCAAATAAATAATTGGCAATTGGCTTTTATGTCCCGTTCTTTAATATGAATATCAATTCACATGCTTCAATACTTTGAAGAACACATCCAGATACTTTGAATCTCAATTGGCTTTAATTAACTCCTTTTATACACGCCCAAAAGTTACTGCTCTTCAGTATATTATTACGTTGCAATTTCTCAATATCCTTGAACCTGTTTTCTTTCTTCAACTGATGAGTTAATTATGATGTTGCAAGTTTCCAACCAATTAATTTTAACGTTGCAATAGAGGTGTCAAACAGGACTGGCCGGCCCAGCACGGCACGAGCCCAGCCTGTTTAAATGAGGCACGGCACGGCACGAGCACGAATATTAATGGGCCGTGCTGGGCACGGCACGAAAACTTGGGCCGGGTTGGGATCAAAAAATGAGGTCCAATGGACCGGGGCCCATGGCCCGACATGGGGCAGGCTTGGCCCGAGCATGCTTCAAGCACGACACGAGCCCAAGCATGGCCCAAGCACGGCCCACTTAACATTTTTTTCTTTCTCAAAAGTCAAAATGCAATAATTTGACATCTAATGTCATTGTTTATATATATATATATAATCATAAATATATATTTGACGTCTTTCATTTTAGGGAAATTACTAGGGTCCTTAATTAATTAAACATATCAACTACAAATTAATTAAACAACATTGGACTTGATATCTAATCAGTACATATGACGTATACGCTTCTCTTATAATCAAAGTAAGACATTTTTTCACATATAAAATAATAAGTTGTTTAAAGATGAAAAGTTGAAGTGGACTTTGTGGAGTTGGACACTTTTTGCCCTTCGCCATTTCATATTGTTTGGATGTTTGATTGATTAATGTTTTCAAATAGTTCATCATTTCTTGCCTCTAATTATATTTTTAATTTGAATTATCTAGTGGAAGAAAAATCAAGTGAAAAAAAATTCAAATTAAATGAATTCGTTCTTGGGCCCGAGTATGGCATGAGCACGGGCACGACACTAGCCCGGCCCGGCCCGACCCGTTTCAATATGGACATGGGCTTTGGGCTGGGCTGGGATCAATGATTTTACTGAATGGGCTGGCATGGCATGGCCTGATAAATTAAATGGCCCGGCCCGACACAAAAAAATTAAAAGCACGAGTTTAAATAGGATGGGCCGGCCTGGCACGGCCCGTTTGACACCTCTACGTTGCAAGCTCTGGACTAATTAATTCTGGTTTTATTATTCTGAATAAAGCTTACTCCATAGGAGCAAAATATATTGGAGTTGCAGAAATTCCAAAAACAATGAAGGAACCAAGCTCTGCAATAATACCCTTCATTGTCTCATTACTCTGGCTCTGCAGTATGGTTCATTCTATCATTCCTTTCTGTGCTAGTCTTGATCCACCAGACATACCAACATCATGGACTAAAAAAACTAAATAACGCAGAGCAATCACCAAAGTATAAAAAATAATCAAGCAATACAAGGTACTAAAAAAAAGAAGAAAAAAAAAGCAACATAGATTATTACCTATCTTTCACTGAACAAATGGAGGAAGCTTGCAATTGAAGAGCAGCATAGATTATTATTTGGGTAGTTGTTAATTAATTTGGAAAAGTGGAAAGTTTGCTAGGTTAATAAGGGTAAATCAAGAAAAATCTTATTGAAGTATTGTTTCTCTCTCATAATAATGTTATCAAATAAATAAAAAATAAAGAATTAACTATAATTAAACCCATGGACATGTGTCAATTTTTGGCAGGGGTGGTGAGGGTACACCTAGGGTTAAGGTGGTGAGCAAAAATGCACCCTTATTTTTATATCCTTACCTTATAACAAGTCGACATCAGTGATTTTTGATGCATTTTGATGAGTTTTTGTTCCACCTGAATGTCTGTCGGGCTCTCCAACAGGGCCGGTCTTGAGATTTTGAGGACATTGTGCTAACCTTAATCTAGGGCCTCACATAAGATAACACAAACTTACACCATTACGTAATGCCATACAATAAATGTTTTTTTTTTCTTAAAGTGACCAAAGTACCCCTACTCCCAAGGGCAAAATTGAAATTTCACAAAAGAATTAAATTTGATTAAATCGACTAAATTGTATCAAGGATGTTACACCTTTTGAATAATCACATGATTGTGACGATGAGTCTTTGTCGTAATAGATCATATTCATATATTAAATATTTTTTAACACCTAATTTATTTTGTATAAATATTCCAAGAACATCATTAATTGGATGTGACTTTTTTGGTTGAGTTAGTTAGATGCATTATTTTTGCACAATTAAATATCTGAGCATATATAAAAACAATCGTGTACCACTTTACTAACTACATTTTTAATTGAGGTGAGCCCTATACATTTTCAATGATAGGACATACGCACATGACAAGCAATGTGTGCACATAGGAATATAGTTATTATTGGGGCAATTAGAATATACTTGTTGAAGAATATATATATATATAACATTTATTAATATACACATGTATTATACACATAAAAAATTTCGAGGGCCCTAAAAAATTAGAGGCCCTGTGCGGTGGCACCACTTGCACACCCTCAGGACCACCCTTGATGGCACTATATATATATATATAGGTGAGCCCTATACATTTTCAATGATAGGACATACGCACATGACAAGCAATGTGTGCACATAGGAATATAGTTATTATTGGGGCAATTAGAATATACTTGTTGAAGAATATATATATATATATATATATATAGTGCCATCAAGGGTGGTCCTGAGGGTTTGCAAGTGGTGCCACCGCACAGGGCCTCTAATTTTTTAGGGCCCTCGAAATTTTTTATGTGTATAATACATGTATATATTAATAAATGTTATATATATATATATATACTGAGCTAGCAAATTTTTGACACAAAGACATTTTTATTGTGTTAGTTTGCAGGGCCTCAACTTCCATTCAGGGCGCAACTTCAAAATCCGCATGTGTAGATCATAGTTTTAGTCCTTTTTTGGTTGTTTTTTTGGTAACAACAATTGTAACATTCCACATCGACCAACGGAAAATGGGTGATGTGCCTTATATATACATACCCACCTCTATCTAGCACAAGGCCTTTTGGGAGCTCACTAGCTTCAGAGTCATAGGAACTCCGAAGTTAAGCAAGTGGGGGCTAGAGCAATCATAGAATGGGTGACCCACTGGGAAGTTGCTCGTGAGTTCCAAAAAACAAAACCGTGAGGGCAGAGACGGGGGCCCAAAGCGGACAATATTGTGCTACGGAGGAGCCGATCCAGGGATGTGACAATTTGGTATCAAAGCCACTCTGCCATATGGTGCGAGTGTGCCGACGAGGACGTCGGACCCCTAAAAGGGGTGGATTGTAACAAGCCGATCCCGGGATGTGACAACAATTAATAATCATAATAATTAAAAAGGCAAACACGTTATTTTCTGTAAGTAATAATCATCACCAATATCTCTCCTTGGCTCTCTTTTTTAATCCTTTGACACTTTTTCTTTTTCAATTTCAAGGATTTCAACACAAAAAATCGACCAAACAAATTGATAAATGTCACTCAAAAGCAAATAGTCATATTTGAATCTAAATTCAAATTCAAGTATGTATCTAAATTATAATTTATATATACTAAATGACTTACTTCATTATCATGTTGCATTGTGCACCTGAGTTCGATTCACGTAAAAGACAATCTTGAGGCAACCCAATATAATACTCCCCCATTTTTCTCACTATCAAATGACAAAAATAAAATAAAAAAGATCAAATTGCAAAAAGTAGAATAAAAATTATAGTTTAAAATTTATTACATACAGGACCATTAAAATTTCTTTAAAAAACAGAGTCATATGCAAATGTGACCTAGCTACCAGCAAAACCACCATAATGACAATTAGGGTCAAATTAAAATTTTGGTTTGTTTTTTTGAAACTTATTGTTTTTGTTGAAAGATAAAAACAACTATGTTGTCTATCAATCACATAATGTTGCAACCACTGTTCAAAACAGCTTGTCCAATGTCAACACCAACATTCAATATCCCAGCTACTTTCACAACCACATACTGAAATAATAAATACTCGATCACAAGGAATTAGTCAGTAATTATGTAGGCAAATGTCATGCTCCCTATTATTTAGTTAAAATTTAGCTAAAAACACACAAAAGTTATTTTAGGAACTCTATAAAATTTGAACTCCAATCATATTCCCTAAGTTAGGAAGTCATAAATACTATAGTTAGTTTTTAATTCAGTATGATTGGTTATCATCTCTACAAAAAAAAATAGTTTTTATTAATTAAAAGTTTAAACTATGCATAAAACGAAACATCATTAAATTATAAGGAGCCATTAGGAGTTCTTTCTCTCTCCTCAAATTTAAAGAGTTCCTAGAGGTCTCTCTATTTTAGGAGGCGAATAGGGAGCATGGTTGGAGTTGTATTTTTCCAATTCCTCCCTAAAATTTGTCTAAGGATGTGGTTTAGGGACCCTATTGTGGATGCTTTAAGTGCGAGTAATTATAGTGTACGTTGTATGAGAGTTTGTCACAAGGTATAACTCGTTTGTTAGAATATATAACTGAATATTTATTGATATTATATCATAAAAGTGGGAAATATTAACCATATCGTCCATCCATATTATAACACGTGGACGAGTTACATCAATCTTGCTATGCAGTAAAGTGTACATACATGTGGGTTTTTGGCAAGTCATTAGACACAAACAAGTTTAAACACTTAAATCAATCTCAACCACATGATTTCATTGAAATAGATCCAATGACTAAGCACCTCATTCCTCAAATGATGACACTGAATCTCTCAACTGCATGCATGGCACTATATATATATATATATATATTCTTCAGCAAGTATATTCTAATTGTCCCAACAATATCTATATTCCTATATGCATACATTGCTTGTCACGTGCGTACGTCCACATAATTGACTTGACGCTAGCTCTTCAATTACTCATTTAGAATTTTTTTTTCTTTTCCAAGTGCCCATAGAGATAAGACTTCCATATATAGGGCTTACCTAAATTAAAAATGTAGATAGTAAAGTGGTACACGATTGTTTTTATATATACAAAATTAGTGAAACACCCATTCCTACACATGAAACTATAAATATACCCTACACTATTTAAAACATAAAAACACACCCAAAATAAACCCAAAAATCAACAATTGTATATTTTTTTTTAATTTAATTAAAAAGATGAAATATCTTTATTACCCTTTTTAGCATTAAATTAGTTTTGGATCTTGTTTGAAGCCTCCCTCAGGTTTGACAATCTCAGGTTTGAAGCCTCAAGCCCCTCTCTTGCTTCAAACCACCATCTCTCCTCTGTTCTCTCCCTTCTTCCCTCTCTATGCCTTCAAAGTAAACCAAACAGTCTCAAAGCCATGGACCAACACAAGACCGACGACAATCTCCGTTACGTAGGTGGCCTCACACGTGTTCTCGCCGCTGATGCCTCCATTTCCTTTGCAGGTTTGTTCCATCTGCTTCAATTCGTAATTTTCCTTTTGATTTTTGCTTAATTTACTTGAATTTCTACTTGATTTCTCTTTCGCATGCACCAACCCCAATGGATCATCGATTTCCACCGACGATATATTCCAAAATGGCCAGATCTGTCCTGTGTTCCCAATTTTCAACTCGGATCTCTTGTTCGCAGATGCCGACGACGATGATTTTTCCATAGCCAAAGGGGTTGCCGATTCCTCTTCCTCTCTACGGCCGCCATTGAAGAAGTTCTTCTTTGAAGAGCGGGATACGCCGAACTCATCAACACCTTTTACAGCAGCAAGGAGATCTTTCTCTGTGAGCTCATCAGTGACGTCTCTGATGTACATATTTTCACCATTTATTCTTATGTTGATTGCTCATTTCAGTATTTTCTAGTTTTATTGTATGAATTGTTGTGTTTTCTGTTTGCGTTTGACTTGTGAACATTTTAAATTCAACGACTTAGTTTGTATGGCTTAGGTTAGAGATTTGAACATGTTAACTTTTATGTTGTGGTTTATGATCATTTCAATATGGAAGGAAACTAATTGATTTGTTCTTTAGTCGTGATAGGCATATTTGCTTTGGTTGCTTTGGTCATACAAGTACGCGGATCTCTTTAAGGAAAAGCTTGAGATTTGTCTTGACAAGGAAGATGAAATGGACTATCTTGTGGCTGGATCAAATTTTCTGCTTAAGGTGGGATCCTAATACCGCATACATAGATTGGTATGTACAAGTTGGTGCCTTTCTTAAGTCCTGTCATGTGTTGCATAGGATGTGTGGGTTGGGATTGGCAATAGCGTGCACAAGATGAGAGGAAGTAACTTTTTTTTTGTTTTTTTGTTTTTGTTTCAGAAGGAAGAGAAATGTGGATGAGTCATAAAATGTGAAACTTGCAAAATTCAGCTGCTTCTGTAGAGATATTTATGATTCTTTAGGATACTGAAATATATGGCTTATGTGGAATATAGATCCATTAAAAGAGTAAAAAAAAAAAAAAAAATCCCTTTGCACTGTTTCAGTTACAGAACTGGCGACAATATCATTAACATTCTTTTTTGCATTATGAGTTCCTTGCCTGACAATAACATTCACATTTTGATTGTTATTTAAGTAGGCAGTTCACACCAAAGCATTCACATACATAGATGGTCATAAGGAATTTGTGCATATTGACCATGATGATCTATATCCCTATATGCTTGTTAATATTGGTTCTGGTGTCAGTATGATCAAGGTATTCTCATAGTAAAAATCAAATACTTTAGTTACTGAATTAGCTTCATATATTTAACTTCTAAAGGCTTGACAGTGTCGTCTATGTTGTGCTTATATAGGTAGATGGACCTGGTAAGTTTGAGCAAGAGGAACCAATGTTGGTGGTGGCACCTTATGGGGTTTGCAACAGGCCAATTTTGGCTTTTTGGGTGGTTGCGGGTCTAATATATGACTTTTGTAAATTTCAACAAGTTGGTAAGTTGATTTGTAGTATACAATTTGTTATTTGTAAGTCGTATGAGCAGTTGTTAACTTCTAGTAAGTGGTATGAACAGCTATTATACTGTTCATACCCTGCAACTGAGTTGATTTATATAACATAGTATTAACAATGTACTTCTATGACATAGTATTAACAGATTTTTAGTAACAAAAACGCTCTATATGTTGCTCTATATATGGCTGTGCACTTGAAGTTTATGATATGCAAAATGTGATTTTTATTAGGAAAATAGTTCTATGACATAGCATTAACAATGTACTTCTGTGACATAGTATTAACAGTGTACTTTTTTTTTTCTTGTAAAGGTATTTCCTTTTGCCTTTGCGATTGTATCTGGTGGACAATTGGAGGTGGCAGCAAAGGATATCGAATCTCTTGTTAGGGTTTTTTGGATTTTTTTGTATGAAATGGTATTTACAATGTTTTTCTATGAAATTGTATTAAGAATGTTTTTCTATGAAATTGTATTAACAATATACTTCTATAGCATGGTATTAACAATATACTTCTATAGCGTGATATTAACAATGTACTTTTATGACATGGTATTAACAATGTACTTTTATGATATGATATTAACAATATACTTCTATGATATGGTTTGCGGAGGTTTGATGGAGAATGAAGGGTCGTGGGGACAGACCCTTGGTTTTCGTGATTTTATTTATTTATTTTATTTTAAGTTTGGGTTTTTTCGAAAAAAATCTAATATGGGTTCGCTGGGCTTGTTTTGGGTTCTTTTGGGAATTTTGTTTTGGGCTTGTTTTAAGTTAATCAATGGCAGAGATGTAATTTATAGGAACTTCAATACTAATTTCATATGTAATAAATAGTTTTTGGGTGTGTTTCTAAAGTGCATTCTATGTAGGGTTTTTTTATAATTATAGCCCCTATTTTGGGTATATTACTAAAGCTCCTTTTTATATATGCTCAGATATTTAATTTTGCAAAAATAATGCATCCAACTAACTCAACCAAAAAAGTTGCATACAATAAATATACGAGCATATATAAAAACAATCGTGTACCACAGCTAAATAGTTTAAACAGCTAAATAGTCAAAATTGTAGAATTTATTCAATAATAAATAAAACTGTCAACCAAATTGACATTCTTAAATGCAAATCTCTCAATCCAGAAAACAACAAAATAAATAAAACAAGCAAACTAGTAAAATATCATAATGGGAACAAGACTCCCACTAAATTGCAGCATCAAAACTAGGAAATAGTCGCATGCTCTCAACATGTCTCAGAAAAGCTTCTGAATGCAAAAACTTTGTGAACGGATCTGCAATCATATCCTGAGTTCTGATGTGATCAAACCTGACTAGTTTGTCTGCTACCTTCTCCCTCACTATTAAATACTTTCTGTCAATATGCTGAAGTTCAGAGGACATCTTGTTGTTCATGCAGTGAAAACCAACTGCAGTGTTGTCATTATATATCTGTATTGGTTCAGAAATCGAGTCCACCACCTTAATGTCTTTAATAAAATTCTTCAGCCATACTGCATGAGAAGTGACTTCATATCAAGCTATGCATTCTGAAAACATGGTTGAACTCGAAACACTAGTTTGTTTAGCACTCTTCTAAGCAAAGCTGCTCCTGCCATCTTGAAGATAAAACCTAAAGTAGAGATGTAATCATCTTCTGCTTTTCCAAGATTCATATCAGCATAACCAACAAGCTCTAAATTCTTTGTGCATCTGTAAATTAACATATAAGCCTTTGTTCTCTATAGGTACCTCATAATCTTCTTTCCAGCTATCCAATATTGCATTCCCGGATTTGACTGAAATCTACCATGTTGCTAATGCATAGGCCTCATCATTTGGCCCATGGGCTTATGGGCCGATAAGGGCTCGCCCGACCCATTGAAAAAAAGCCCAACCTGACCCATTATGGGCTTTGAGATGGCCCGGCCCGCCTTGGGCTAGGCTGAGCTTGGGCTTGGGTGTCTGAAGCCCAGCCCGGCCCATAGGCTCGGCCCGATGAAGCCCAAGAAAGCCCGACCCAGCCTGCCCACAAAAGCCCGGCCCGTTAGGCCCGCATACATATATAATTATGTATAAATAAGAGTTTAGGTTTATGATTATATCACTTAAATCACATATATAATTTGTTTCATTTCATTTACTTTTCTTTACTCATTCCTAGTTTATAATTGGATGATTAGCACATTAATTTGTGTCAATTATTAATACAAGAATTATATATATATACATACATATATATATAGAAATATAAAAGATGAACAACATATCATATCACCAAATATAATCATATCACGAAACATAATCGTACCACCAAATATAATCATGCTTTTCTTGAACACATCACCAAACATTTGCATATTTATTCATACTATCCTTTAAAAAAATATTTTTTTTTAATACTTATTATTTTTTAAAATTATTTCTTAAAACGTATTACAGTCTAATTATGTAATAACCTCAAAAATAATACTTGGTTTTATTATTTTTGTGAAAAATCTTATTAAGTTGTGTGACTTTATTTGGTGTTTTATGAATTTGGTTTGATGAAAATATTGGAATTAAGTGAGTTTAATCTCAAATTTTGCCCTTATGATTAAGTTTATGATATTTTTCAAATGAAGTAGGTCCGTTTCGGCCCGGCCCATGGGTCGGGCTTGGGCTTTGAATTTTCTAAAAAGACCCAGCTTAGCCCGACCCAAACCCATTAAATTTAGGCCGGGCTAGCTTGGCTCGGCCCATTGACGAGCCCTACTAATGCACAAGGCTAGGTCTGGCCTTGTACACACTTGTGCATACATAATGCTTCCAACTAGAGAAGCGTATGGCTTGTTCCTCATCTCTTCTTCTTATTCTTTACTCTTAGGGCAATGCTCCTTCTTTAAATCTCCTTTAGCTAAAGGAACTTTCTATCCAGAACACATACTCAAGTCAAAACGTTTGAGTATCCTCTCAATGTATATTTTCTGTAATAGGCCTAGAAGGCCTCAAGCTCGGTCTCTCTGAATTTCTATGCCCAACACAAAGCAGCTTCTCCCAAATCCTTCATCTCAAAATTATTTGAAAGTAGCTCATTGGTGTCCTTCAGTAAATTGTGATCATTTGTAGCCAAAAGTATGTCATCAACATACAGCACCAAAAAAAAAAAATTGGCTCCCATACTTCTTCAGAAAAATGCACTGGTTAGCTATGTTCTCTTCAAAACCATAAGATGAAATCGACTCCAACACTTCTTCAAATAAATGCATTGATCGGCTATGTTTTCTTCAAAACCATAAGATGAAATAGTTTGGTGAAATTTGAAATACCACCTCCTGCTTGCTTGCTTTAGTCCATAAATTGCCTTGCCCAGTTTGCAAACCATATACTCTTTTCCATTCTTTGCAAACCATTCAAGTTGCCACATGAAATTTTCTTCTTTGAGGTCACCATTTAGGAAGGTAGTTTTGACATCCATTTTATGCAAAAGTATGTCATAATGCGCCACCAAAGCCGTAATGATGCAGAAAGAATCTTTGGTTGAAACTGAAGAAAACGTCTTAGTGTAGTCAATTCCCTCCCTTTGGGTGAATCCTTTGGCTACCAATCTAGCCTTAAATATTTCAATTCTTCCATCCTTATCCTTCTTTGTTTTAAATACCCATTTCGAGCCTACCAATTTCTGGCTCTTGTGAGATTCAACTAATTCCCATACTTGATTATTCTTCATGCTTTCAAGTTCATTCAACATCGCTTCCTTCCATTTTTCTGCATTTTGACTCTCCATTGCTTCTTTAAAACTTATTAGATCAGCTTCATCTCCAATGTCAAAATATGCTTCTTGTAAGTACACATCATCTAAATTTGCTGTGGATATTCTTGGTCTGTCAAATCTCCTCGGTTGTACTAGTTCTTGTGGATTATCTAACTCAGGATTCTCAACAGCTTGTTCTTATGGTTCAACTGGTTCTTCAAACTAAGGATTTTCCAATACATCACTTAAGGGAATCAAGGGTGTAACATCTTGTTCAGCATTCTCATTCACAGCTACATCACCTTCTTCTTAAAAAATAAAATATTCATTTCCAGTGGCATTTTCCTCATGCTCTATAAACTTTGCACAATCAGTCTCAACAATTCGGGTACCATAATTTGAACAATAAAATCTGAAACCATTTGACCTTGCGGGATAACCTACAAGACACAAGTGACACTTTGCAACCCCATACATGAAGATGTTGCAAGCTAGTCTTTCTAGTAGCCCAAATTTCGAAAGGTGTCTTAGGTATGGAGTTACTAGGCACTCTATAGTTTGCTGTTTTAATCGCCTCTCTCAAAAGCATACGCAAATCAGATTTAGAAATCCCACTAAGAAGCATGTCCTTCAAAGTTCGATTTCTTCTCTCAGCCACACTATTTTATTGCGGAATTTCTGGCATTGTGTATTGAGCAACTATTCTATTTTCTTGTAGATACCTAGTAAAAAGTCCAGCACATCGTCCTCCTTCATCAAAACGTCCATAATATTCCCCCCCTCTGTCTAACCTCACAATTTTGATCTTTTTCTCAAGCTGCCTTTCTACTTCAGTTTGGAAAACCTTAAACATTTCAAAAGCTTGAGATTTTTCTGCTATGAGATACAGATAACCAAAATGAGAATGATCATCTATAAAGGTGATGAAATAACGATTTTCATCAATTGTTTAATGAGGGAATGGTCCACAAATATCTGTGTGGATGATTTCTGAGAGATCATTATTGCGAGTTGCACATTTCTTCTTAGTCTTAGTGAGCTTTCCTTTAACACATTAAATGCAAATTTCGTCATCACCAAAAGTAAGTGATGACAAGATTTGTTCTTTAACAAGAATTTTCATTCTTTCTTTTGAAATGTGCCCTAAACGTCTATGCCATAACTTAGTGGATGTTCCTTCACTTCTAATCTTGAGGGTACAAAAACTACATCATCCAACTCTAAAATAGATCTTGAATCCAACTTAAAATCAACTACTCCAATAATATTTAATTAAAACAACAGGTGGCTATCTAAACCTCATTGTCACAACATGCCGTCGCCACCATGAAAGTGTTGTTTTCCTTAGCAGGGAATGGGTCAAGTACCACTACCTCCCAATTAGTGGTGGCATAAAAAATCTCGACATGTGATTCAGGTTGGGGCATAGGTTTCACAGATTGCACTAGGAGATTCTTGTATCGAAGTAGCTTATTGATGTTTCTTCCTCTCCTATAAGCGCATACACCGAGCTTCATAGCGATCCTAAGACTTCCGAGACTATCATTTGTAGTCGTGTATATCCTTATGGGTCCTTCATATGGTCGACGATTTCACTGCGCCTTAACCCTTTTTCGCTCCAGCTCATCTTCGTTCCGCTTTTTAATTAGCTCCACTATATTCTTTACTAGAATGCCATTTGTGACAAGTTGACACGAGTGACACCTATTGAATGCCAGATGCTTTTCCTTTTCCCTAAGATCTAGGAGTTGTACTACAAGACACATAAGCGAAAAGGCT